CGGCAGCACTGGGGCCTTCGGCGGAGCTCCTATGGGGCCACGAAGCGTGTAAGGGGTGTGCCGAATTGGGTGGGGTGACGAACACTGTGTGTGAGGGGTGTGCCGAACGTGCGGGGCGGCAGCACTGGGGCCTTCGGCGGAGCTCCCTATGGGGCCACGAAACGTGTGAGGGGTGTGGGGGGTGTGGGTGACGCATGCGGGCGGCAGCACGGGGCCTTCGGGAGCGGGGACGAAACGTGTGAGGGGTGTGCCGAGGGTGTGGTGACGCATGCGGGCGGCAGCACTGGGGCCTTCGGCGGAGCTCCTATGGGGCCACGAAACGTGTGAGGGGTGTGCCGAAGTGGGTGTGGGTGACGCATGCGGGCGACAGCACTGGGGCCTTCGGCGGAGCTCCCTATGGAGCTACGAAGCGCTGTACTGGGTGGGTGAAACGCAGGGAAGAGGGGGAGGAGGAGGAGGAGGAGGAGGAGGAGGAGGAGGAGGAGGAGGAGGAGGAGGAGGAGGAGGAGGAGAGGAGGAGGAGGAGAGGAGGAGAGGAGACGCGGGGACCGTTTCTTCAAAACGAGGACCCAACACCACAGGATGGTTGGGAAAAAGATCAGGAACCGGCAGAATAGGCCCCAAGAGCGAAGGAGCACGGCAGAAAAACAGGAGCACGCCAGAATAGACCCCCAAGAGCTAAGGAGCACGGCAGAAAAGGAGCACTGCAAAAACAAACAGGAGTACGGCAGAACAGACCTCAAGAGCTAAAGAGCACGGCAGAATAGGCCCCTAGAGCGAAGCAGCACGGCAGAAAAAGACCATGAGCACGGCATAATAGACCCACATATGCAAAGGAGTACTGCAGAATAGGCCCGAAGAGCGAAGGAGCAAGGCAGACGAAAACAGGAGCACGGCGGAACAGACCCCAAGAGCTAAAGAGCACGGCAGAAAAGGCCCCAGGAGAGAAGGAGCAAGGCAGAAGAAGGCCAGGAGCACGGCAAACTAAAACCCGAGGAGCAAAGGAGCACGGCAGAGTAGGCCCCAAGAGCTAAGGAGCACGGCAGACTAGACCCGAATAGTGAAGGAGCACGGCAGAAAAAGACCATGAGCACGGCAGAATAGACCCCAAGAGCTAAGGAACACGGCAGACAAAAAACAGGAGCACGGCAGAACAAATCCCAAGAGCTAAAGAGCACGGCAGAGAAAGACCAGGAGCACGGCAGACTAGACCCGAAGAGCGACGGAGTACGGCAGAAAAAGACCAGGAGCACGGCAGAATAGACCCCAAGAGCTAAGGAGCACGGCAGAATAGACCCCAAAGCGAAGGAGCACGGCAGAATAGGCCACAAGAGCTAAGGAGCACGGCATAATAGACCCGAATAGTGAAGGAGCACGGCAGAAAAAGACCAAGAGCACGGCAGAATAGACCCCGAGAGCTAAGGAACACGGCAGACAAAAAACAGGAGCACGGCAGAATAGGCCCGAAGAGCTGCCGAGCACGGCAGAAAAAACACACACACACACACACACACGCACACACACACACAAGCACGGCAGAATAGGCCCCAAGAGCTGCCGAGCACGGCATAAAATTATCCTGGCGAAGGACCCAACCATATGCAATTGTGAATACCGCAATTGTGAATATCTTCTTCGGTGGCGCTCCCTATGGGGCCACGAAACGTGTGAGGGTGTGCCGAAATGGGTGCGCGGGACGCGTGCGGGCACACCCACTGGGACCTTCGGTGGAGCTCCCTATGGGGCCACGAAGCGTGTGAGGGGTGTGCCGAAATGGGTGTGCGGGACGCATGCGGGCACACCCACTGGGACCTTCGGTGGAGCTCCCTATGGGGCCACGAAACGTGCGAGGGGTGTGCCGAAATGGGTGTGCGGGACGCATGAGGGCACACCCACTGGGGCCTTCGGTGGAGCTCCCTATGGGACCACGAAACGTGTGAGGGGTCACGAAACGCGTGAGGGGTGTGCCGAAATGGGTGTGCGGGACGCATGCGGGCACACCCACTGGGGCCTTCGGCGGAGCTCCCTATGGGGCCACGAAGCGTGTGAAGATCATGCCGAAATGGGTGTGCGGGACGCATGCGGGCACACCCACTGGGGCCTTCGGCGGAGCTCCTTATGGGGCCACGAAACGCGTGAGGCGTGTGCCGAAATGGGTGTGCGGGACGCATGCGGGCGGCAGCACTAGGGCCGTCGGTGGAGCTCCCTATGGGGCCACGCAACGTGTGAGGGGTGTGCCGAATTGGGTGTGCGTGACGCATGCGGGCGGCAGCACTGGGGCCTTCGGCGGAGCTCCCTATGGGGCCACGAAATGTGTGAGGGGTGTGCCGAATTGGATGTGCGTGACGAATGCGGGCGGCAGCACTGGGGTTTTCGGTGGAGCTCCCTATGGGACCACGAAACGTGTGAGGGGTCACGAAACGCGTGAGGGGTGTGCCGAAATGGGTGTGCGGGACGCATGCGGGCACACCCATTGGGGCCTTCGGTGGAGCTCCCTATG